TGTGTGTGTGTGCACACACACACACATAAGATAGCAGTATATATTATACCAATAGAATAGAATGACCATACATATGGTTCATTCCTCTAGAAAACCCTAAGATAGTGAATGAATATATAAGGGGTTGATATCTTTAATATATAGAAAGCACTCCTATGATAAAGGCTATCAAGAGGCAATTCCCAACAGAAATATAAATGATAACTAACATTAAAGTATATTCAACACCATCAATATTCAAACATGAATTTAACACAGAAAACCTTAAGATTGTCTGTAGTACCACCATCAGGAAGTAACCAGCAGCTATGGGTGTGGCTCAAGTCATAGAACACTTGCCCAGGACACAGGCCCTGGTTGGTTTTACAAACTTCCAGACTTTCTTCCATGTATAAATACATATGTATAGATTATTTTAGCACTAAAATCAAAGATTAAAAACACCACCAAATGTTGAGTAGGACCCAAAGAAATAGGCATTTTCATATACGTCTAGTGTGCATGTAAACTGGTACTAGTTTTCTAAAGAGTAGTGTGTTGATGTAAATGGTCTTTAAGATACAGTATTTTTAACTCAGCAATCTAAATCCTAGCATTTATCTTAATAAATTCATCTCATAAGTGTCCAAGTATATGTATAAATGTGTATATATAAAAAAATCCATTACATTTATAATAGCAAGACTGCAATAATCTAACTGCCCAACGTAGACTTGATTGAATAGCCATTAACATTATGACAGATTTATATTAATTGCAACTGAAAGACGAGCACAATATAATTTTTAAAAGTTAAAATAGTATATACAGTTTAATCCTACTTTAAAAAATTTAATTAACATGCACATAAAAAAGTCTTAAGACTAAAAATGAAAATGAAATCAGTTTCTATAGTAAGCTAGCTATTCTCTAATTAACTGATTACAGGCCTTTATTGTCTTCATCATACTCTATATTTTCTACTTCTTTCAATTTGCATGTTACTTTTAGAGTTAGAAAAAATGTTTTAAAAGACAAAAATGTGATAAAAACATATAAAGAAAACTCATTAAAATGCTTAGAATTAATCAGCGACACAACCTTACATTTTTCACAAGACTAAAGCGATAGGGTTTGAACTTACTCATCATCCTGAAAGCTAAGCTGTAACTTTTCTCTTGGTTCAGCATCACTTTGGCAACTGGGAGATGACACAGATGGAACTGAAAACCTCCCTTCTACTAAGTAAGATGCCTGGACATCAGGATACCTACACAAAATAGTTAAAAATTAAATCATGTCCATTTAAAATTTGCCATGACATATCGCTGCATGACAGTAAAAGCAACCACCAGTGATTAAAAAGAAATAGGAGCCCTAGCGTTCAAAATAATCATCCTGTGTAAAAGCACCAGAAAAATCTTTGGATCTTAAAAGAAATCCTAAAGTTAAAAGAGTTTTTAGACAATTAATCCAACCCCTTCATCCCAAAGATAAAGATGATTGATGCTCCTCATAAAATGCTTAGGTTGAGAGGAGATGGAAGATGGTCAGCTATTTAAGCATGAGCAAAACTTTACACATTACCCAGACCCTACATGTAATAATGTGTGAACTATACACCTCACATTTGCAGTGATGTAAACAAAGCATATTTAACCAAATATCTCTCTGGTTATAAAACTGGAATAAGAAAAGCTAAGAAAATAAAGGCTGGTTTTAGTTCCTAAGAATGAAAAACTTGAGCTGAATGTTATTAGAATACAGGCTAAGTTATCTCAGAAGTATACAACAGACTGAAGATGAGAGAAGAAAGGCAGGCATACCAGTCTAGTAAATCATGAATCTAGCTAAAATGAAGTAAAAACAGAAGCCTTGTCATACCTCTAAACATATCCAATTACCCTAAACCACAGTCAGAGGTAACCATTAAGGGACAGTTCGTTAATCTCCTGTGTAGTTAGAAGTGTAATTTATAGATGTCTTTTCAGAGTTTGTGTTACCATATTTGGTGACATAGAGCAGGAAAGATAAAACCAATGAGCTGGGAGAGAGAAGAGAATGAAAATTACACAAAGACGCAGATGGGAAGACAGAAACCCAAGTCCTGATGCTTCCCAGACCCAGCTCTGCTATATATCAGTATGTTATAGGTTTTATAAACCTGATGGAAAAAAACCAAAAAACTGTTCGAATAAGTCTTACCTGTTATCAGTGCTAGATCTATTCCTAGCAAGTGTGGAAACAGCAACAGGGAAGCCAAGATTTGAAGAAAGAGTGACATTTTCCAAAATCCCACTATTACCAAGTAATGAACTGGTGAAAAAGCTTGGAAATGACTCTTCTGCTATACCATGAAAATCTTCCATCTCACTGCAACAACAAAAGTATTTTTATAAATCAAATATTACTATAAAGTACTTTCAAATGACTAAATACAAGTTTCATAAATCTTGGGAAACCAAAAGTCTTAGGCAATAATTTTTTGCAACATCACTGAGAGAGTAACACATGTGAAATACAACAATTTTAATTACCCTTGGTTTAGTGTGGTAAGGAATATAAGTTACTGAAAATTTATCTGGAAAGAAAGCAAAAATGGGATACAGATGATTTTACAGTGTTTAAAAGTTTGGCATTTAGTCCATTTGAAACATGGAACAGAAACATAGAATACAACTAAAGAAATCTAGACCTTGGATTCAAAGATCATTGTTTTGGTTTTGTTTGGTTGGGTAGGTTTTTTTTGGTTTTTTTTGGTGAATGTGTGCACACATGGTTGGGATTGAACCTAGGGCCTCAAGCATACTAAGGACATACTCTGCCACTGAACTATGCCCACAGCCAGAGATTACTGTTAAGGATGAAAACACAGTTTAAAAAGTAAGCACATTCAAAGAAAAAATTTTCAGTTCAGTAAAGTACAACTGGCACATGACATGGTAGACGAGTACACAAATGACTAAGTCTGGAAAACTCCAGCACAAAATCTATACCATTGGTAAGAACCTAAAAGCTCACATTAGTCATTGGTCTAACTTGACCCTGATGCTCACAACACTCATAAGATGTTACCAAATCTCAAAAATCATTCAGAGTGCCTATCAAGTAAGCATTTGTGGAATTTAGTAAGGAAAACAACAAGGGAGAGGACAAAAACATAAATCAGAAACAGCTCTAAAAATGAGGACATTGGCATTATATCTTGAAAAGGAAAACTTACTAGTATGGGACAAGAGTCTTTTTTTTTTAGGATGACAAAAGAAAAAAACAGCAAACAGAAGAGAATTAAAATTTATTGCATATCTACTACTTTACCTCATTGAATCCACAGAAAACTTTACAGTGAAGACAAACTATAGAAACTAAGCAAATTTCCCCAAATTTGTACAATTACTAAGATTAATAATAACCTCTAGCTGGACACCTGTAATCCTCACTACTGGGGAGGCAGAGCTCAGGATGATTGCAGTTCAAAGCCAGCCCGTGCAAATAGTTCAAAAGAACTTTTTTCAAAAATACCCAACACAAAACGGCTGGCAAAGTGGCTCAAGTGCAGGTGCTCTATCGCTTCTGCACTATCCACTTTGCCAATACAAATGGCCCTTCTCAAATGTTAAGTTTATCCCATATTCTCTGCACAATCCTTCCCATGCTATACAAGCTGTTAGATCTTTTAAAAGACCCTTCCTCTATTCCACTCCTTCTTATCCCCCCCGGGCTACTCTCTTTACCACACACTCCCCCAGAAGAAATTGTGACTGGCATCCAGTTCCGCTCCTGCCCTTCTGAATGCATCCCAATCAGGCTTTCCTCACACTGCCCCCCAAATAATGCTTGCCATTCTCACCACTGAGCTCCCTGTTGCCAAGCCCATGACGCTACCTATAGTCAATTCTCCTTATTTTCTTTAATTAACAAAATGGGATTCAGATTATTCCTTCACTGAGGAAATATTTTTTTGGTTTCCAAGATGTAGTTGCTGGTTCTTCTCCAGCTTCACCAACTGCTTCTTTTCCTTCTCATTTCCTAGACCTCCACACAAATGGAGGGCTCAGTCCTCTAACTCTTCCATTCACTACCCTCTCTGAGTGACTGCCCTTAGTTTCAAAGTTTCAAATACCCCATGAAATTGACACCTTCAGCCTAGGCTTATCCCCTGAACCCTAAGCATTCACATTTACAGCTTACAGATAATGTAACAGGTACCTAAAACTCAAATGTTGATTCTACCTCCTTCTCACCCTCTTTAGAAAAACCTATTCTTTGAAAACCTTGCTCTTCAGTCTTCCCCACCAGAGAAAACAGTAAATCCAATCCCCAGTTAGTTATGCCAAAAGCCTTCATCATCAGAGTCCACTGACACCTTCCCTGCCCCCACACTCTGAGCAAATCCCAATGGCTACACTTTAACCATACACCCTGAACCTTGCCATTCCTCATGACCTCCACTGCCACTACCATCTCCTGCCTGGACACTCACTATCTCTATGCTGCCACTCTTTCTCACCTGGTCTTCTCTTCATGCAATAGAGTTATACCTGTAAAATAGGTCGTATATTACCACTCCTTGACTGAGACCCTCTCTCTACTGGTTTCCCATCACATTCAAAGTAAAAAAGGCCATCCTGATGGCTGACAGGGGCTAGTGTCTCTGATCTCATTTTCTGTTACTCTCCTTCAATTCACTCCATACCAACCATACTAACCTCCCTGCTGTCCCTGAAGCATGCTAGACAGGCTCTATTCTGAGGCCTTTACCTTGACTCTGACCTCTACACAGTCCCAGATGCTCCAGGTATCCACTCATCTTGCCTCTCATTCCTTCTCACTGCAGAACTAAGCATGGCACTAGAGTACTGATCTACGTAATTTACCTCTTCATCTGTTTTTCTACCTACATTAGAATGTAAGCTCCATGAGGATAGGGACCCTACCTATTTGGTTTACCACTGCATTCCTACCTAGAGCAGTGCTGGGACAAGACAGACCCTCAATATATTTGCTGAGCAAATGTTTTCAAATGATGTCAACACACAGAAAAGTCATCACTAGCTGTAAACCAATAAGCACCCTCCATTTTTTTTTTGGACAGGGTCTCACTATGTAGCTCAGACTGACCTTAAACTAATGATCCTCCTCAGACTCCCGAGTGCTGGGATTACAGCACCTCTGTCCTGACTAGCCACTTCCAAATGCCTCTCACGCCAACAAATATAAAACCAAACTTGTTACCTTTCCTCCATCCACTCTCCTGCTGTATTTTTAACCTTGACGCACATCATCTGCATCCACAGGCTCTACCAGCTGGACACCTATGATCATTCTGATCTCTCCTGCACTCTCAGTCACCAATTTCTAATGCTTCGAACTTCAAGTATACCTAGAGTTGAAATTAACTGCTATATTATCAATGCCAGCTCCCATCACATCTTAAAATAAACTATGGTATAACTCTGGCTTCATAATTACTAAGTTATTCATTTATAAATATATAAACCACATTAAAATGTATACTGAACTCTTCAACACTTATCCCTATGTAGAAGGGGTCAAATCCAAAGAAAGTTCAGATATTACTCTAAGATCATCCATGTAAGTGTTCAGACACAAGCCATAAAGGACACTCTATTGGTAGAAGAAATGCAAAAATAAGTAAGGCAGCCCCTCAAGGAGCTGATAATCCCTATCACAGGACACACAGTGTTAAGTACTTCTATAGAGCTTTGCTGTGGGTGCAATAACATAACCCATTAGAAAATTCCTACCTGGCACCAGTGGCTCATGCCTGTAATCTTAGCTACTTGAGACCCTGAGATCAGGAGGATTAAGGTTCAAAACCAGCTTGGGCAAATAGTTCTTGAGACCTCCCCCCATCTCCCAAATAACTAGAGCAAAATGGACTGGAGGGGTGGCAGAGGGCCTGCCCTGCAAGTGCAAAGCCCTGAGTTGAAACCCCTGCCCACCCCCGCAAAAAAAAGAAAGAAAAAAAAATTCCTCAAGATGTAACCTAGTATTTCCATTTCTCTTGTTTCCAGAAAAGGTCACACTTACCTAAACCATGCATGCACAAAGCACATACCTAAAGCTTTGCTAGAAAGGAAAAATTCCCTAATTTCTGTCAGTACTGCATTAGCCACCTTTCCTCTGTCATCTAAAGTGAAGATAATACAATTTTATCATCTTTCTTTACTGCATTTGAACCAAGCAGCCATCTTTGATTTACCTTGCTATTCCCTTATTGACTTCAATGTTCACATATGGGCTTATTTGTATTTAGTTACTTTAATAACACATAAAAGATTATCTCCTGTAGTCATCAACTGTAGGTCTATGTGTACAACTAGACACATTTAAAAATATATGCTGTGGAACCCAAAGCCTAGTCAAAATTGCCAACACCCATCATTTACTCCTGGTACTTTAAGTAGACATCAAAATTAGGCAGGAATTTAGTATATTACTTTTCAAAGCTTACCATAAGCTTCACCCATAAAACTGAAATCCAGGGGAAAAGTTGACTTTGGAGCAGTTAAAACAGCACAATGACTTCAAAATGGTATCCCCAAATGGAAATACTGTCATATAAACAGCTGTCCTCCTCCGAACGACTGTGTCCAAAGGGACCTCATGTTTTACCAAAGTCTGAAATTAAGAGCAAAACAAGGTATTCATTCATTTGCAGATACATAAATCTCATGAAAACATATACTGAACTTGTCTAATTTTTCGTCCATAAGGAAATTATTGGCAAAAATTGTAGGAAAGGAACACAGCCTAGTAGAAACCAAAAAAAAAAAACGGAGAAGGTGGGAAGCGTTCAACTAACAAAAACGTTACTTCCTGAGTCACAGTTTAAGACAAAAGGAGACTGAACCTCCCATCACAATACCTATAAAGCAAACACCAGCGGCCTTAGAGCACTTTGCAAGAAACCCCACAACAAGGCCCGGAGGGCGTTTGCCCCTCAGGAGTTAGAAGTCACCGAGTGCAAAGGGAGGAAACAAGGTTGTGATTCCCCCAAAAGCCCACCGACTGGTCAACTGCCGTGTACACAAGGCATGCAACTAATCTCACTCAGTAGCGCGTAACCGGTAGGCACAGCTGGATGCGGAGACCCGGCCCGCCTCCCCGCCCAGCTCCGAGCCTGCGCCCCCCGCCAGGCCCAACCGTCACCGCCCCGCCGGGCTATAGCCACGATGCTAGCCGAAACTGAAGTTGCCTGCCTCCTGCCCAGATGCACGCCAAGACACCGGCGACCCTACTCACCGAACCCACCACAACGGCTGGAGGAACAGAGACCTGAACAAAAAAGTCCTCAGACTGCAAAGGCCGCCAAGCCGCACTGCAAGTGCGCGTGCGCGTACCACCAGCCCCCGCGGCCGCCCGACCCGGCCGTACCGCGCGCCCCTCAGATTTACGTCTGTTCGCGGCACCGGGCGAAGGGCGGGCATTCAGAGTAGACCTCGGATTGGACAGAGCAAAGGAACCGTGCAGGCAGGATCCAGTGATTGGTGAGAACGGCAATTTGAAGCAGCCTGGGACTTAGCGAGCTGGCCTGGATTGCAGCTCAGCTGAAACTCGCCCTGACCGTATTAGCCAACTTGAAAAATAATGCCTGCCTTATTCCGTTTGAGACCCCAAAGCGACGTTAGTCGCCTTACGCACAAGGAAACATTTCCCTTGAACAGATACATTTTTGTCCTCCCGTGAGTAGATGCGGAACTTAACACCGTTTTGTGGACGCAGAAGCGTGTCAGGTTTCCAGTCAGTCCTTGGGATCAAACCGTTGTGACACCAATCGTCTGTGATGGAGTAAGGAGGTTGGTCCCCCTTGGAAACAAGTGAGACGAGACGTAATTCTTCCCTAGCTTCCTCTTTCCCATCTTTCTTAAGTCACAAGTCCCACTACCGCCGTCTGCTCAGCACAAACCTTTTACTGAGACCATAAAGATAACTTACTCTCCCACCTTTCACCCAAAATCTATCTCAAAAAAAATTCCATAGTTCTTTATCTCAAAATTTCTAACATAAAATCTCAGAGATAAAGCATTCTAGAGTGAAAAGGGAAAACACAAAGTTGTGCTTAACAGCCCTTATTGCTGAGGTTAGCCTGGTGAGGGAAGATGTGTTTATTTGATCACTTCCCCAAAATATCACGTGGCTATCATTTCCTTTTTCTGTGCCTATCAAAAAGGGGTGAATTCAACTATGATATATTGTAATTAGTTTGGTAAATGTCACAATGTACCCCTAGTACAATTATCTAAATTAAAGTGGTCCTCTCCATACTCACACAAAAACAATAATCTAAATTAAAGTGGTCCTCTCCATACACAAAAACCCATGGGGGGGGGTGTATGTGTGTGTGTGTGTGTGTGCGTGTGCGTGTGCGTGTGCGCGCCTGTGTGCGCGACTAGCTAAAGTGCTCTACCACCGAGCTACATCCTGAGCCTGCTTTATTTTCGCTCATGTTATCTAGCTTGGTCCTGACTTTATCAAGTGTGGTCTCCTCATTGTCAAACTCAATTATATCTCTGCAGGCTTTGGTTTTTTCGGGTGGTCCTGGAATTTGAAATAAAGAGCCTCGTGCTTCTGAGGTGGGCACTCTACCACCTGAGCCACACCTCCAGCTCTTTTTGCTCTAGTTATTTTGAGGATAGGGTCTCACTTTTTGCCCAGGTCTATTTATGCTTCCTGTCTTCGCTGAGATGACAGGTATGTGCCACCTTGCCCAGCAATAGTGGAGAAAGAGTCTTGTGAACTTTTTGCCCAGGCTGATTTACAACTGTGATCTTCCCAATCTCAGCTTCCCAAATAGGATTACAGGCATGAGCCACTGGCATCTGGCTTCTCTTGATACCAATTCCTGAAACCCTCTAAACTTTTGGTATTTGAAAGTGCAATTACCTCTAGTCTACCTTTGCCCACACTCAACAAGCAAAGATTAAGTGGGGAGGAAAAAAATTCTCAAGATTTTCTGAATTTCAAGAAAGTAAACCAGAGCCAGAAGCTTAGGCAAGAGAACTGAGAATTCAAGGAAACCGGGCTACACAGCAGAGCCTGTCTCAAAAAACCATAGGCAGAGGATATAGCTCAGTGGTAGAACACTTACTTGCCTAACATGCACAAGGCCCTGGGTTAGGTCTAAGCACCAAGAAAAAAAAAAAAAAAAAAAAAGCTAAGATGTGTTTGAGTGATATATCTATCCTTCTAAAGAATATTAACCCTGATGGCTTTATCATTGGAGGTGAATTGCTGGGTTGTATGTCTACATGTTCCAGTCTGTCATTCACCCTGAATCCCTCCATAAATTTAATCAAGCCATCAGTACCTTCTCCACAACATTCAGTAACCTGGTATGATTCTCCAGATCCATAATCCAAAGAACATGCATGCAGCTGAGCCCGCACTCTTAACACCAGACTGTCTAGATCTGAATCCTGGCTCTCCTCCCTAGTCCCAATTGTGTACCCTCAAGCCACCAGTTTCCCATCTGTAAAATGGGGATAATTCGAGCACTTACCTCAGAGGGTTGTTGTGACAAAATAAAGCAGCTAACTCATGTAAGTAAGGTATCTAGACAAGCAGAAGCTATGAAAGTACTCAAGAAATATTCACTATTATCTGACTTTACTTGCCAACTGTAAAGGAGGAATAGAATTCCCACTGTAATTTCCTCATCCCTGTAGACAATGAGTAGAGCCAGCAGAGAACCTGGAGCCAGGAGAGCCTCCCAGGGAATTAGAGTGATGCCTGTCCAATTTTCAGTCAGTCATCTCCCATAGTTCCCCTTTACCAAGTGCTTTCAGTGGTATGCCTCAGCCACTAATATCCAGAGCTTCCCATAAATGGACCTCAAGGTATGATTGCAGATTAATTTCCCACTGGTTGCCTAAATGTTCCTTGCTCTTTCAGATTTTTATATCCTGTTCCCTGATAAAACCTCTTTTACTCTCCTCCACCTGTTGAAACCCCACATCCCTTCCAAATCCTGCCAGCTCAGGTAAGTTAGCAGCTTTTATGCCTACTTTACAGTTTCTCCCTTACTTACAAATCAGTCAGAACCTGTTACCTTTTTTAAACCTCAAAGTGCCTTCTCCCATTAGAATGAGTTTGTGCACTAACTTTCTACTTTTTACATCTCATGGGGTGTAGCAAAGATACGCTTCTTGGACATTGTAGATGCCCAATATTCACTGAATTGGGGAATGGTCTTAATTCATTATCTCTTTCTAACTCGTTAGCTCAAAATGACTGAAAACCTCTAAGACATGAATTGTTAATCTTGAGCTAAACAAATCTTTAAGCTATATCCCTTGCTTTGATCCTCCATAGATCTACAAGTCCTTTAACAAAAGGAAGACCCTTGAAACTTATTTGAAAAAAGATTTCCTTTTACACTGGAATGCTAACTTTACAGACAAAACATTTTCATGATTAAACACAACAAAATTCAAATATTTCTTGAATTAGAATTAAAAGGATATGTCTTATCAGTTCTTTTATCCTCTATATGTCAAAGAAAGGCACCTTTAAAATTATAATATATATAGTTATAACAATTATGTCACCTATATGAGTAACTGATGAACACATGCTATCCAAAATGCATCTCATTCAAGACTGGTGATGTAGCTTAGTAGTACAACACTTGCCTATTATGCATAAGGCCCTGGGTTCAATCCCCAGCACCACAAAAAAACAAAACAAAAAAAGATTTCTACCTTTGAAGGTAAAATCCTTAGACAATTCCTAGGAAAACTGTGCCAAGAGTATGTTTAGTTCCATATTGTTAGTTATTTTATCATATTATTAAGTGTATTCAATTAAAGTATTTCAGAAAATTTATTCTAATGTTGACTAATGTTATTGAAAGTCAGCATCTAAGTTGTTTGGCGGGGTTGGGGGGAGAACTGGGATTTGAACTCAAGGCCTCACAGTTGCAAAGCAGGCACTCTACCACTAAGCATCTAAGTTATAAATGTTAATTTATATATTGGCTTTCTGCCTCTTAAATAATGTTTGCTCATCCCCTAATTTGTATTTCTTTGGAGTTTTTTGTTTTGGAGACAAGGTAAAAGAAGAGTACCTTATCTTAAATAAAATATATTGTTTCTATAAGGCAACAGATTCGTATTTTTAAAATATTTTTATTAAATAACCTACTTGGATTATAATTACAAAAACCTTAAACAGTAATTCCAAGTAGTAAAAGGTTATTTCCTATAAAAAAGAAAAAAAAATCATGTTTTGCTGCATTATACAGGAATGACTTATTTTACATACTGTTAGCCTGTAAAACTAAAAACAATTCTTAATGTCTTAATGGCAAAGTGAACTCCATAAAAAATGATATGCTTTCACATTAACCAGTATGACAAAGCAAAAGAAACTGGAGACTATAACAGTTCCAAATGAAACTTACAAAATGGGCGTTTGATCGTTAATATTGCTGTACACATCTCATCAAAGGTGTCAACCAGTAAAGCCAAAGTTCCTTTGATGCAGGCGTACAAACAGGTATAGGTTCCAAACACTGTGGTTATAATACATGCAAGACAGACCCTAAATTAAAAAAAAAAAAAATCTTCTGAAAGAAAATGAAGAAAGACAAAAACCAACCAGGATGAAAGCATTTACAAGCATTTGAATAAGGCCTTTAAATTTTAAATCAGTGTTTTTAGACCCCTTCATTCTCTGGTAAGGGATTAAGAGGCTGAGAGAGATATCGTCTGCGAGGGTAAGGATACTGGAGGTTGGCAGTGTCAGCATCGCAAGAGTGCTCTACCAGAGGAGGAGGAGGAGGAGGAGGAGGAGGATGAGGAAGGAGCTGGGCATAACTGGACCATCTTGATCCAGCCCGTGGGGAATCCAGAGGGGGAAAGAAATACCTGAAACAATGAAGACAGGAACAAAACACCAAAAAAAAAGGGGGGGGAGACAGAAGAAAAAGAGAAAAGTAGTAAATACAAAGAGAACCAAAGAGGAGAAACATGCTAGAAAAATAAAACAAAAAGCTTTACTATATTCATGCCAAAACTAATGGAACATAATAGCACAAATCAAGACCCTTATTCAAATCAAGATTGCTTAAGCAAGTATAGATACTTGAGAGAAATACAATCTGTTAAACTTAAAATGTCAAAAAATTATCGGTATGTTACAAAGACAGACTATTTTATAAATTTAAGACATTTTCTAATCTCTCAAACATTTCTGATGTTATTCTGTAATTTACAAATCTAATGTGCTTTTTATTTTGAACAGTGCTCCATCTGTAGCAGCAGCAGGCACACATTTTTAGTGCATACATGACACTGAAAAACAATATGAATACATTTTCACATAGTATGGCTGGCTACTGTAACGTGCTTTTGAAGAAATACAATCATTGAGCATATTTTTCCACAAAAACCTTAGAAGAACTACAGAATTTTGATACATAAATGGCTCAAAGAATTATTATGCCCTATTATTCTTCTACCATTTTCTAACTTACCCGTAATTATTCATGCATTTTAGCAAATGTAAAGATTTATAGCTTTGTTATCAAGTTCACAGCATCACAGCATCAGAGGATATGAACTCATTCAAACAAAGACTAAAGAAAATCCTTAAGGCATGGAATGTAAGTTTGTTTACATGCATGCACACTTTTAACAAATTTTAACTGCTTCTCTTACAGTGTTTCCAAATTGTGTCTTGAAGGAAACTAAGCCATGGAATCACACCATAAATATATACATGTACATATTTATCTTTTTTTTTTTTCTGTAGTACTGGGGGTTGAACTCAGGGCCTCGCACTTGGCTAGCAGGTAATCTACCACTTGAGCCACTCTGCCAGCTCAGAAACGTTTATCTATCTAGTGAGTATGAACTGAAAACTTAAAAAGGCGTTTTCATTTTACTACCAAATGAAAACAATACCAAATGTTCCACTTGGCTGTGAATTACACAGTCATACTACTTTCACCTCAACTCTAGTACTACTTTACTCATCCACTCCTTTACTAATATTTTTTTAAATATTACAAAGAAATGACAGAGTTGTATGGAATAATATCACATATAAAGCAATTCTACAAAAAGTAAACAAATTAGCACTCAAAACAATCTTTATGAAAAATATTTATTCAATTTCCAAATTAAAATTATAAAAATTCATCATTTTAGCTTATTGTTTTAGAAAATGAAAGAAATATTCCTATGTTCTCCAAATGGAATAAAAATGATATTTTCCCTCCTCCCAACTACTTACAAGAATGAAAACAATCCTTTTTGTTTTTAAACTCGGTTTCAGGAACATTTCAAAAAATTGTTTTGGTGACAATGTTTCAACAAAAAGCCTGTCCTTTCATATTTCAAAAGTTTTAAATAATGTCAACAAACTGTCATGTACAAAAAAATGAAATACACTGTATTTTTAAAGGCCTTTTGGACTGCATTTAGTAGTAAGCAGACTGCTGGTATATCTTGGGAAAGATCAAACGGCGCTGGGGAAGGGGAAAAGAAGCTTGCTTTCCATTCCTGTGTGCATGCAACAAGCAGCAAAACAGCAAAGTTACTCCAGTTAGCTTGTACTCAGCTGTGCTTTCTGTTAAAGGACATAATACAAATGGAGAAGGGAAAATGCATCACAGATCTACCACAGATGGTTATTGGCACAATAAGAATACACATCAAAACATCAAAGCTATCTACAAAAGAAAATATGTAGTATAGGAAGCAAGACCTAAAGCCAGATTTTTAAAAAATCAACTCTAGTATTCTTTGCTTCATGAATTCATCTTTATAATCTGCTATCTTCTATGGTAACCTGAAATAGTTTTGATGGATAAAAATACTTAAAACCTCAAAGTCATATAACTGGATTTCTTTATAAAAATGCAACCACAATAAAAACAGTTGAGGAAATTTTTAATTCAGCTATCTTCTTTTATTTAGGATGCAACTGATAAACTCAGGCTGAGTTTTGAAGTTTCCTGAACTCTTGCAAATTATTCACAAAGGCATATTAAAATAATTCCACCTATATATTTATATATTTGAAATTTAAATAGGAAAACTCCTTATATCACATCAGTTTTTTTACTTTTTATTTTTGCAGAATTGAACCAGGGCCTTGCACATGCTAGGCAAATGCTCTGCCATTTGAGCCATACCTTTAGCCCTTTTGTCTGTATTTTGTTTTTTAGAAAGGGTCTGCTAACTTTGACCAATCTGGCCTTAAACTTGAGAACCTCCTGCTCTGCCTCCTGAGTCACTGGGATTACAAATGTGTACCATCAGATCTGGCTAATTTTTTTGTAAATATTCCAAAAATCAAGGTAACAGATTATTTCCTCTTATAATCATTTGAAATCTTAAAGACAAAAGCCAAAAAGTCAAAAATAAAAACTTAATGTTTTTTATTTAAAATTTCAGTTTGGGCACCAGATGGTTCACACTTGAAATCTTAAGCTACTTGGGAGGGAGGGTGAGATAGGGAGAATTGTGGTTCAAGGCCAGCCCAGACAAACAGTTTGTGAGAGCACCCCAATCTCCAAAATAACCAGAGCAAAATGGACTTGAAGAGTGGCTGAAGTGGTAGAGAACCTGCTTGAAGCATGAAGTCCTGAGTTCAAACTCTAGTCCCACCCAAAAAAAAAAAAAACAATTGTTTGACCTGATGCAAAGGCCATACTAGAATAAAAATCTATGTTTTACTAGATAAAAATCAATGTTTATCTGAGACTAAAATTCTCACTACTAAACTACATTTCTCTTACTACTACAGAAGCAAAATAGCATCTTAAAGCTATGAACATCACTACTGACAGGCCACTAAATTTCACAATACAGTTTAATGGCCTCACAACCCACCTGTAAATGTTAGGACCAAATAAAGACATATACACTGCTAAGAGTGAATTTTTTTAAGTTCTAATGTCAAAATTATGTGTGAATTTCATAATTTCAACTTAGTATTTATGAAATAACACATTTTTAGTGTAACTACCACAAAACAGCCTACCTGCTAGAAGAAGATCCATTTAATGAGTTTTGAAGATTTGGAATATTTGAACCTAGGTAATGGTTTGAGTTTCCCTGCTGAGAATTCCCACTGACTGGGCTCCCATTACCTTTCAAAATACCAGTGCACTTCCAATTGTCCATATAATTAGCTGAAAGGAAAATGGTCAAACACATTAACATGATTAATACCTCTGTACAGAAACACAAATCTATATCCATGTCCTAAAACTAAAACAGGAACTATGGGCTACATTGCTTTCTAGGTAAGCACTAAAGACAATTTTTAAATGAAACACATTTTTTCAGTTTTAATAATTTTTTAACATTTCCAAAGAACTAAGTAATTTTAAAAACATAAAAACTTTCACCACCCATTTCCTTTCCTTATAATTATAGACAGTGCTCTAACCTATCACATTATAAAGCTGTATCAAAATAAAACCTTTGTCATTCTTATAACGAATTTGTGTAAGGAATGGAGTTGTCTTCTTGGTTATGCAAGTTGTCTTCTATTATCTTCAGAGATGGATGTTGGTAACAAAACCTCTGGCTTATCCAACATGGACTAATTCAATGAATACAAAATCAGTCACCGAACCCAGTAAGTCCATAAAATCCAAGCTAGGGACCCTGCTGGGATTGTCCTACCTAATGCTCAGGGACAAAAAGATAGCAAAGCCCTAAAATCAAATTATACTGAAGAAAGGAAGGTCTAGGCTGGTTCTTAAGAATACAGCCTAAAAGTGAACATGGGAAGCCCTCTAGGCTGTTAGCCAAACTGCACTTTTTGGAAAGCAGCAACTAACTGTTCAGAGTAAATGACCTAATACAGCTGGAACAACGCTGATTTTTACATATGGAGTATGCCTACTGTGGTGGTGCAGAAACCAGAGCCATCTCTGCCCAGTGACTAAACCATCCACAGAAAAGTATAGAACCAAACTGAAGTCTGTGTCAACTGACCAGAGAGTTCCCTTGGTGTGGTGCTTATAAGAAATTTAGAATCAGAACCTCAGAGTTCTTGAACTTTCAGGGAGTTAAAGAGAGAAAGTGAGGAAGATACTGGATTTAAGGTCTGAGTGTTATAGTAATTATTTAATAACAGAGATGGCTGCAGTGCTATCCTGAGTTTGTAGAGAAGTCACACAAGTTATATATATAAAATAAATGTTATCTTTTTACTATAGAGATTGAATATTCTGTTATTACTTTCAATTCAAATGTTGCTTTCTTCCACATAGAAACAATTCAATCATTCATTAACTGTTATGAGTAGCAAACACTGGCACTGATTTTAAAGTAGCTATTAAAGGTAATTTTTAAAAAAATATTTCACAGTTTACACTTTTAAGTGATAATTCTAAATAATATAAAGTAACAATTTCCCCACCACTGAAATTTTACCTTTCCACAATCTTACACAGCCATCATCTCCTGAAGATGCTAGCACTGTCCCTGTTATGTTCCAACTCACTCGCCAGACCTGGGAATTATGATTATCAAACTGAGCCACGATATGGATTTCAAATTTTGTTGGCCCACCAGAGGAAGTAAGTTCTTTCCTGGAAATTAAATAAATAAATAAATTCTGAGGAGTTTTAAGAAACATTTGTATATGCTTGTGTATGTTGTATGCTGTTGTAAATAAGAGCTATAAATAGACTTACCACATTGTTTTATAATAATGTGCACAACCATGTTCCCCTATCCCCTCAGCCTTTGAGCTGTTGCTGATATCATTTTCATTTGACTCTCTCCCAGGACCTGGAGGGATTCCAGCCCATTAAGTGCTATTCACTGACTGTGTTTGCGGAATAAACAATAAATGAGGATGTTATTCCCTCAAATACGTTGAGAAATCAAATAAATTTTAAAAGGAGGGAAAGCAAAGAAAGAAAGAAAAAAGAAGTGCACTTGCAATTCAAAATTAAAGCTAAATAGGTTATTCACAAGAATGCCTCTACTAATTTAACTTTTCCTAAGTAAACTGCCTCTTCTCATTCATTCAAACATTTTAGAGCGTACCAATTATAAAGGATCCAACTCGTTAGCATTAATCTACCAAAAGAATTAAGAAAATATCCCCAAAAGTCAAATAGTTACACATAAAAATGTTCATTAAACAATCAGAACATGGGTACCTCTACTCTCTCCTCCATAAATAAAGTTAATCAGGAGGCAAGAGTATTTTCAAATTTGTAATTATTCTAAAACTCACCTCACAGGCTTTAATGTAAAAATTCTTACATCCTTGGTTGCTATAGCAAGAGTGTGGAAAGATCTTCCCAGGTTTGGAGCAAATGCAATGTCATGAACAGGATCAGTGACTGTCATAAGAGTTTCAGCTTTTGCATATTTCCTGATTAAAAAAAACTTCACATTAAAATTTTCAGAAATAAAATTGGAAAAACCCCACACATCAATGAACCTCAATTTTTTCCTATTGCTCACCATCAGTGCTTACCTCTGTAGTGGGCTAAACAGGGGTTCCCAAAATGATATATCAAAATCCTAACTCCCCCCAAAAAGCTGAGAATGTGATCTTATTCAGGAAAAAATTTTTAGATGTAATTAAAAATCTCAGAGTAAGTTCATCCTGGATTGAGGGTAGGCCTTGACGCCAATGTCCTGTGCCCTTATAAAAGACAAAAAACAGCCAGGCATCAGTGGCTCACACTTGTAATCCTATCTACTCAGGAGGCAGAGATCAGGAGGATGGCAGTTCAAAGCCAGCCTGGGCAAATAGTTGAGACCCTATTTCAAAAATACCTAACACCAAAAACGGCTTGTGAAGTGGCTCAAGATGTAGGCCCTGGGTTCAAACCCCAGCACTGCAAAAAAAAAAAATAATAATAATAATAAATAAAAACACAAGAGAGGAAAAACACAGAGACACAGAGAGGCGCCATGTGACCACAGAGGCAGAGACTGGAGGGATGCTACCACTAGCCAAGAAGCTCCTGGAGCCACCAGGTGCTGAAACAGGATAGGAAGGATTTCAGAGGAATCACAGCCCTGCCAACACCTTGATTTCAGATTTCTGGCCTCCAGAACTATAAGTAAACAATTTTCTGTTGTGGTCAGCTATTCAGTTTGTGGGCATTTGTTATGGCAGCCCCAGGAAACTAATATAAGCCCTCAGGTTTAAGTATAGCTTAAAACAGAATGCCAGTGTATGAATCTAAGCCAGATCAGTTACTGGCTGTAGCTTGACCTTTAGCAAGAAGTTTTCTGTAAGGCAAGAGTAACACCAGCACTGAGGCAGATTCTAAAGTGCCCAAGGACCCCCACCTCCAGGCAGTCATGCCCTTAGAGTCTCCTCCCCATAAGTTTAAGAATATGGCAGAGTAAAGGAACGACACTTGTGTGATTACATACACAAGCCTGCAATGCCTGACTCTTAAGACCACCTCCCTTGCAGGCCTTGAAGAAGTACTCGTATGCTATGTGCAGTGCCCTAGGAGGGCACAGTCATGAAGAAAGAACATATATAAGTGCTGCCAACAAGCAGGTGAGCTCCAAAGTGCAGCATTCCCCAGTCAGGCCCTAACTCGTGCCCCACAGAAACTGTGAGATAGAAAAAAGCCACTAAGATTGTGATACTGCTATGCAGTCCCTCTGCCCCTTAGATATTCCCACTTGGATATCCCAGAGGTACCTCAAGCCAAGTATCCTAAGTGAACAGTCTGATGGTCTTAGTTTCTAGCAAAATAGTGCCAGTATAAAAAGCTGGCTACCCTACTCATAGTATTCATACTTCATAATGTATATGAAAGTGCCCTGTAACCTACGTAAAGGTATACTAGTATTACCTAGAGTTCTTCCCTCTCTCCCTTACTGGCCACATCCCGTCGATTACCAGATTCTCTTGATACCATTTCTTTATTTTTTTTGATGGGACTGGGGTCCGACCAAAGCAAGTATTCTACCGTGTGAGCCACACCTCCAGTTCACCATTTCTTAAACTATTCTCAAATGGTCCAGTTCTCTCCAGCCCCACTACCACTACTCTATTTCTAAGGCACTATGATCTCCCACCTGGAGATTATAACAGGATCCTTAACCTTGAAACCACTCATGTTTCCCTCCAAAATACTTCCTACATTTATGGAAGAGTTAAACCACCATCTGATCCTATTACTTGCCATTCATATGACCCAGAAGATTTCACTGCAAAGACAGAAGCCAGTGGCTCATGCTTGTAATTCTAGCTACTTAGGAGGCTGAGATTGGGAGGATTGTGGTTCGAGGTCAGAAGAGGCAAATGGTGCACAAGGTGCCATCTTAAAATAACCAGAGCAAAATATGGGCTAGAGGTGCAGCTCAAGTGATAGAGTGCTGCTTTGTAAGCATGAAGCCCTGATTTCAAATCCTAGTTCCACCACCAACAACCAAAAAAAAATTTCCCTGCAAAGCTGGGGGAATGGGGCTCAAGTGGTAGGGTACATGCCTAGTAAATGCAGAGTCCTGTGTTCAAACCACAAGTGCCACCCAAATAAATAAATAAATTGATTTGTTAGCTGGGCTGAGTGGTACACAACTAGCATTTGGGAGGCTGAGGCAGGAAGATTCTGATTTCCAGGCCATCTTGGGCTATGTAGCAAATTCCTGTTTCAAACAGCCAAAACCAAAACAAAACCAAAAACATTCATTGCAATGCTGGACATGAAGTTGCAAGGTATGAGTCCTGCCTATTTCTCACCACACTCCCTTTTGCCTATTATGTTCCAACAACAGTATAAATAGATTAACTCTCTCTTCTTCCTGAACCTTACCATAAAGTCTTCTTTCTCCCTTGGTCTGATTAAGTTCTAATTATCTTATAGGTCTTCCTCTAAGTGACCCTTTCTGGTCCCCTAATCCTTTGTAGACTACGTGCCCCCCCAGAAGAAACTTTTCAACAACCTCATTTTTTTTGGTTCATAAAGGATACCCCCTTTTTTGTTGTTGTTTGGTGGTTGTTTGGTTGTTTGGGATTTCAACTCAGGGAATCACACTTCCTAGACAGACTCTACCACTTCAGCTGCTCTGCCAGTCCTTTTTTAGGTTGAGTATTTTCAACATACAGTCTTGTGAACTTTGCCTAGGCTAGTCTCTAACCACTATCATTCTGATCTCTGCCTCCTGAGTATCTAGAATTATAGCATGAGCCACCAGCACCCAGCTTACCCCTTTTATAGTTTTTGTTGTTGTTGTTTTGTTTTTTTTCTTTCCCCTGCAAGATAGTACATATGGGAGATCAATTACCTTCTCTTCAATGCTACATTATCAGAGCCTAGCACAAGTTAGGCATGGTGTCACAGACCTATGGTCTCAACTACAGAAAGCCAAAACGGAAAAAGCACTGGAACCCGTAAGTTCAAGACCAGCCTGGGCAACATGATCCCATTTTGAAAACAAACAAAACAAGCTGGGGCATTGCTCAAGTGGTAGAAAACTTGCCTAGAAAGTACAAGGCTCTAAATTCAAACCCCGGTACCACTGGGAAAAAAAAAACAAAACTATACATCAGAGCCTAACACAGAACTTGGCTTATCACAGGAAGTCAGTAAATATGTAATGAATGATATACAATTCAGTTAATGAACAAAGGAATAAAATTTTAAAACTTAAAATGCAATTTTGAACAAGGAATAATACCAAAACAGACTGACCTGGTGTTTTCATTGTATTCGAAAATCTGAACCTTGGCCATTGCATTTGGACTACTGTCATCACTTCCTACAGCTATCATAGGGGAGTGAGCACGAGAGCTAGAAATGAAGAATAAAAACATTTTACATATTAAATCAAAAATGTTAAATTCAAAGAATTAAAACTGAAGTCAAGCAGGCAACCTACAAGCCAGCCTGTTCCTACTGCAACATTTAGATCTCCTCCACCTGCAAAGCCATACCTTACAAGTATATGTATATGAGAATGTCACACATAGGAACTAAGGACTCCTTGTAGATTGTTTTTAACCACATTTTTATATGGCTTATATAAAAAGGAGTTCTTTTTGCAAAAGAGAAGGTTTCAACCATTTAATAGATTAAAAAGGTTTAATAGATTTAAAAGATTTCAACAGATTAAAAATGGCTTAGTAATTTTTCCTCCTAAAAGATCGAGCCATTAACTATGAACAGAAACCTACTGTGACCAACTGCATGACAAAAAGGTTTTAAATGTTTTGTGTAACAGAAGAAAAGCAGGTGGAAAGAGGAAGAGTAGGAAAGACCACCCCCAAGTCATGTTTCCATGTCATTCCCCTCAAGACTTGTGTGTGGACAATCCACGAAAAAATGGCAAAAGATACCAGGTGCTGGTGCCTCATGCCTGTAATCCGAGCTACTCAGGAGACAGAGATCAGAAGGATCGCAATTCAAAGCCAACCCAGGCAAACAGTTTGAGAGACCCTATCTCAAAATACCCCATCACCAAAAAAGACCTGGTGGAGTGGCTCAAGGTGTAGGCCCTGACCTGAGTTCAATCCCCAGTACCACAAAAAAAAGGCAAAAGACAAGCAATCAGAAAATGGTTCAACTAAAGTGAACTACAAATTATTTTTTCATTTTTATGCCAAATTAACTAGAAATTTCCTTTTCCTCCTCCACACAGATATTTTATTTATTCTTTTGTGAACAAAGCAACATTGCTTAACCTTTGACCTCAGTACTATGTTCTGCTAACCTCTTAAAACTAAAAACAAAATTCAGTAACCGAAAAAAATTTTAGTTCTTTATTATTAAAACTCACTAAAGACTGGGTGGGGTAGCTCACATCTGTTATCCTACTACTCAGGAGGAAGAGAGACACAGGAAGGTGGTTCAAGGCCAATCCAGGTTAAAGGTTCTCAAGACCCAACTAAACCAATGGCTGGGTGAAGTGGCACATGCCTGTCATCCCAAGAGGAATGCAGTCCAGGCCAGCCCAAGAATAAACCAAGACTATCTTTAAAATAACAAACACATAAAGGGCTAGTGGAGGGGCTCAAGAGGGCCCTGAGTTCAACTCCTACTACTGCCAAAAAAAAAAAACCAAAAACACTCACTGAAGTTTTTTATTATTAACACTTCAAATAATTAGATCAAGTAATCTAATATTAGAAAATTAATTAAATTTAATAGAGCATCCATCAGAAGGTAATGCTAGATTGTATGGGTAGACAACAATTTCATGAAAGATTGCCCTTGCATTTATAATTAATATATAATCTAATGTGCTAAATCTGGCTGCTATTTAACTTTTGAAAAAACTAGTAGTTAAACACAAAATACTTATATATGTATTAAATGCCTATATAATATGTTATAAATATTAATCTTGCCAGAATACAAACAATATAACAAAACTTAGGAGAAAAAAGGGTCCATGTGAGGTAAAAGTAAAATAAGCTAATTTTCTCTTTTTTAAAGAGAAGAGTCAGGCTGGGGGAGTGGATCACATGATAGAACGCCTGCCAAGCAAGCATGAGACCTTGAGTTCAAACCCCAGTACCACCAAACAAAACAAACAAAACAAAACAAAAAAACCCTTAAGGAGAAGAATCAATATTTTCTCTAAACACTGATAAACCGTTAAGTACAGGTATAAATTTGAAGTTATGATAATTACCTACATAACTAAAAGAATTATCAACATTACCACCTAGTCCTATCTTGTGAGTTGGAAATTTTTATAAATGTGTTATATTCATCTTTCATGTCAGCGAGTATGAATAGGCAGGAGTACCTCACTACCAGAATTAAGTCTAAAAACTGAACTATTTTTAACCACATTGTTTTTAGGGTAGAAGGGAACTTTTACTTTTGTCCTCTTGTAGACTTTCATTTTTTTCTTTTCCAAGTAATTCTTAGAATTTTTTTTTTAGAAAAAGTTAATAAGCAACTATGAGCCAGGTATGGCGGTGCACACCTGTTATTTCCAGTACTCAGGAAACTGTGGCAGGAAGATTGTGAAGTCAAGGCCAGCTATATAGTGAGACTCTGTCTCAAAAAAACAAACAACAACAAAAAATAACACTCAACATAAGACATTTGAAAGGAATGATGTAGTGGTGGCACATTCATATAATCCCAGCACTTAGGAGGCAGAGGTAGAAGACTTGCAAGTTGGAGGGCCAACTTGGGCTACATGGTAAGTCCTTGCAAAAAGAAAAACAAAGCTGGCGGGGGGAGAACAGATATACTAAAGTATGAGAAAAGGTCTGTAATGAATTTATGATTAAAAAAAAGGAAATTGTAAGGAAAATATTATGAGCTTGTTCATGTCTGTGTGTTCTGTGTCTACTCTTATGTGTTAGTACATGCTAGGTGTATTTGCATCCATCTCTTGGAATACACTTAATATTTATTTGTATAAACAAAGAAAATGCCCAGAAAGTTCACACAAAAAATATTTACAATGGATGAGTTCCTTTGTGGAGTGAAAACACAAGAACAAGAAACATGTCAGGGTAGAAAAGGGAAGGTATATCATCTAGATAATTTAAGAAAAAACATTTTTGAGAAAATAAATCATCAAATTCTTAGCTTAAAAATTATCTAGCCTGATTTGTGTATGAGATGTACATGAGCCTATTGGGAGACCGGGGCAGAATGCTAATGGTTTAAGATATGTTTTTGTGTCAGGTTGACAAGAGGTGGACTCTTGTCCGCCATCAAGTTGACAGTCAACTCGATTGGATTTAGAATCACTTAGGAAATTGGTGAGGCACTTCTACATGTGTATATAAGGGCATTTCCAGAGAGGCTTGAAGGGGGAAGACTCACCCTGAATGTGTGTGGCACCAGCCCATGGGCTGGGGACCCAAAGGGAATAAAAGTGAAAAAGGAAAAAACCAGCTCAGCACCAGTATTGTCTTTCTCTGCTTTCTGGCCACAATGAACTGAACTGCTCTGCTCCACTATGCCTTCCCCACCATAACATAATGACACTTCTAAAACCCTGAGCCAAAATAAATCTTTCCTGCCTTAAAAATAAAGAAACTACTAGCTTGTTTTGCTAGAATTATATTATCAGAGGTTTGATAAGTAAGCTTACCTTGAAGGGTTCCAAGAAATACAACTACAGCTTAGCTTACATGAGATCTCATGCTGCAGGGACCACTGGCTGAGATTCATAACATCTGGTGCCTCATATATTCTTACTATACCATCTGCTGAACAGGTTGCTAACATGAGACCCATATGCTTGGGAGCAAATTTCACATCAGTAACAGACGTTCTGCTATCCACTAGAGTTGTCCTCTTCACCTGAAAAAAAACAGCAGTTTAAATCATACACAAAAAGAACACATGGTTGATTTGAAAGAATACATGCTCTAAAATCACACAGAAAGTTCTCTGCTATTTACTAGGAATATAACCCCTTAGGTTTTTTTTGTTTTGTTTTTTGGCAGCACTGGGGTTTGAACTCAGGGCCTCAGGTTTGCTAGGCGGGCATTCTTACTGCTTGAGCCACTCTACTAGCCCTTGAGTAAGTTTTTTAAAACCTGTATGGGCCTCAATTTCCTACAAAGCATTTTGCAAAATACCACATATATAACTACTAAAAAAATTAGTGAGGTATAATTAATTACTGCCTTTAAAGCAAAATAAAGTCTGCCTTAGAAGGCCTAACTTTATTTTACGTACGCAATCTCTCTTAAGCAGACTGCTCATAAAACCAGAAAATGTTAGAATTTTCACACAGATAGTTCTGTCATGTAAAGCATGCTGCAACCAGTAAATTAAATGAATCAGGATCCTTCAATAGTAAATAGAAGGCTTGCAACTTCTCTTAAGCATTAATGTCAGTTAACCCCATTTAGACCACCACTGCCCTGGTAAACAAATGGATGACATCTGGAAGAACATGCAAAACACCTTCAGCAGTGGCTGCCTCTAGGGATACAACTCAGTCCAAAAGGGAAGAGTTGAGGAGGAAGTTGGCACCCTTTTTTCTATTTTTTTTTTTTTTTTGGTGGTACTGGGGTTTGACTCAAGAGTCTCACAACACTGGCTAGGCAGGCACTCTACATTTGAGTATGCCTTTCAAATTTCGTGTTTGTGATTATCCATTACGAAAAGTAAATTATAGAGAGGAAAATAAAAGGCTGCAGATAAATATTCAATAAAAACATTGGAACAGGACTAGTGAAGTGGCTCAAGTGGTAGAGCACCTAGTTCAAACTCTAGTACCAGAAAACACACACACACACACATACAGAGAAACAGTCTTAAAGATAATATACAGTCCAATTCTCTTGCTCTATAGATGAGAAACTTAAGCAGCACATCCAATCAAGGCAGAAGGAGAACAAAATAGATGCAAATAAAATACAGAGTATTTTGTAAGAAAACAAAGTATCCACGAAAGAGGAGCCTGCACATGGTTGGCATCCATGAGCCTGTGTTCAATCCCCAGCACCACCAAAAAACAACAAAAAAGTAACCACAGGACTGGAGGTATGGATCAAGTAGTAGAGTGCCTTCTTTGCAAGAGCACCGCCCTGATTTCAAACCTCAGTCGTGGCAAAAAAAAAAAAAAA